AACGGCTGCCCAGTGCTGACTGCAGAGCGGGTCGGTCCTGGGTCTTCGGCCAGTGTGTCCTTGCTAACACTGCCCTGCCTTCCTCCAGCTAAAGCATGGCAGAGGACAAGCCATGCCTTTCCTGGCCCCAGAGAGTGGATCTCAACCTGCCTCAGCCAAACCTCACAATTGCTTTTCCATGCCAGTGCCTGGTGGGCCAGGCCAAGACAGTCAGCTAATCTGGGTACCCGGCAACCTTTGCCTTCCAAATAGCTGACTGTTGGGCAAGACTGTTTGGGCTCAGCCTTGATGATTTTTGCACTGAGCAAATCTCATCACGTGTCCCAGTGTAGGGGTCTGAGGGTGTGAGCTCAGCACTGCAGTGATATCTCAAAGCTTGCAGGGAGAGCCAGGAGCAACCTGCTGGCCCATGTGCTTCCTGAGATGCTGAAATAAACTTTCCCCAGATTGCTTGTTGGGGTCCAACTTCGTGGCCGGAATGCTTGTCAAAGCCCTAATCAGCCCTGTGGCTGTGTTTGGAGATAAGAGCCGTTAAAGGTGTAGTGAGAGGGAAATGCAGTGTAGGAGTGGGCTGTGGGCCGACTCCGCTGGTGTCCTGACACCCATAGGAGGATGTCAGGACACCCACACAGAGTGACAGCCGCATGAGCACACTGGAAGAGGCCGTGTCTACAAGCCCAGGGGGAAGGAAGCAGCCCTGGCCACACTGTGACCCCAGGCTGCCAGTCCGTAGGGACCATGAGAAAGAGACTTTGCTGTTGAGGCTGCCTGGTCTGTGCACTTGTGATGGCAGGAAAAATATATTGCTGAAGCCAGCACAGGTTTCAGAAACAGCACAATCCCTAATCAAAGTGGCTTCAACAAGGAGAAATGGATTCAATCACATATATGCAGTCAGTAAGTAAAGTAGCCCATGGTGACCCCAGCGAAGTCGTCAAAGCACCAGCTTCTCTCTGCCTACTCAGCCCTTGGTGCACATCTTACACTGATTCCCTCATGGTGCCATTTGGCTGCCACACCTCCAGCTATCACCTGCAGAGGACCAATCATAGGCAGGAATGAGGTGCTGAGCTGTGCAGACTCTGCCACCAGCCCTGCCCTCACATCCCATAGCACAACACACGCCCATCCCAAACCAGCAGTGGGCAGGACGTGCAGAGTGGCTGTGGCTGGCATTAACTGGAAAGAGGCCAGTTTCTCTGACACACGGATGCTTTTTTACTGGGCAGGAGCAGGGCTTTATCAGTAGAGAAGGAGGAAGTGGGATGGGAAATGACCATTGCTGTCCCTTAGCTTCCCCTCGGAGAACTCTGCCGCTTGCCCTGGTCCTTGGTCTGTTCTGGCTGGGGCCTAAATGACCCTGGAAACATCCAGTGTTGCTTACTCCAGGTCCTGCCGGGTCCATGTGGCTCCCTCTCCTTTGTCTGTCCTCCAGCCCCCAGCACCTCCACCTCTCCCCTTCCCTCAGGGCCTTGGGCTCTGGGCTTCCCTCCTTCCTCAACCTCACCCCGCTCCGCCTCCACTGGGACTTCCCCAAATGTGGTTCCCCGCAGGCTTGGCCTGGCTGGGCCACTCCTCCCTCTGGTCCTATTTGTCGCTTTCTTAGTGCCATCTCAGTCTCTGCAGGTGCGGCTATCTGCCCCACCCTCCTGACCCGCGAGGCCTCAGTCCAACTGAGGCGGAAGCTCCACTAGTTTCCCAGCCAGGGAGGGATGGGGACCAAGGGGCTGGGAGTCTCCTGCAGGTATCGCCCATGTGCATGTGGGCAGCACAGTAGCGGGTGCCCGGGGAAATGTCAGGGTGGCCTGGAGGTGGCTCCTACACAGCCTCCACTCCACTGTACTCCGATGAGGCTGCTCATGCTTGGCTCCTACACTCCGGAGAACTCTGGGAGCCCAGCCCTCCTCAGTCACTCTGGCTGGCCATGGCAGCTGGAGCACAAGTCCCTGCTGGCCCTGGATACCCCTGCTTGGGGTCCCTCTGCACCTGAGTGAGCTCACTGATCACCCCACCAAAGGCCACCCCTCCAGGGCATGGGCTGTCGCTTGTGCTTGGCGACTGCCTCACATTTTGGTGTCCAAACTCTTGTTGGCTTGTTGATCGTTAACTCTTGTGGGAGGAAGCAGCCATAGTGGGGCCCGGTCTGCTTCTTGCCTGTTCCTGCTGTGTAAATACTTCCATCAAGATCCCAGGCTGCCTGGGAGGTGCTGGCACACAGCGCTCGAAGTCACCTCTTGGCGGCTAGTTGGAGATCGCCCAGGACTCAAACCCTCAAGATTCCTCTGAGTCTGCCTTGCTGACTCTGTCCTCTCTTCCCACCCCCCAGATCTTTCTCCTAGAAAGAGACAGGGAGGAAAGAAGGGCGAGGGAGGGAGGTGTGGGGCTGAGAGGCTTTGGGCCAGCTGGGAGGGGGCTCGCCCTCTGGCAGGCACTGCGACCCGCCGCTCCCCCCATGAGGCCCAGCTCCCGCCGCCTGCTCTAATAAACTCTAAACTCCAGTGATTTAAGTGAAGATTTCAGATTAACATTTAAATTAATGCTGGACTAGAAATCTGCAGCCCGGGTCGCTGATGTGACTCTTCGCTAACTTGTTCTGTGACCTGGGGCGGAAATGGGAAATGATCTCTTCGGAGCCACTCCTCAGTGGGGAGCCCACCCCCATCCAGAAGGGAAGCCACAGCTCCCTGTGAGACAAGATTGCCCTGGGAAGCTCTGCTGGACTGTGTAAAGTGTGTCCCTTCTCTGGGGCGGAGGTTCCAGGTAACTGACCCTGTGACAAAGAGGCCGGCAGGGCTGTGGCCTTGTCAACCCTTGATGGCCCAGCTCCCACCTGGCTGAGCCCTGGGCCCCTTCCCGTGTCCATCACAACTGAGGAAGTGGGGAGCACACCAGCCAGGAGATGGGATGTGGGCCCAGAAATGGCTCTGTGGACTGAGCGGGCCACACTGACGGACAGCCGAGGCTTTCGGTCCTGCCCTGGACGGTTGCTGGATGTGCGTTTCATGCCAGGAGTGACTGTGACTCTGCGGCCCCAAGGGTCTCATTCTGGTGACCAGTCCTTCCCCTGAGGAAAATGGGCCATGTGAAGCCACTGTGCATGGCCACTCACCAGTGCTCAGTCCCCTGCTCCTTCCAAGCCTCCTAGGGACACTGTCCACTCTTCCGATGGTGGTTGTGACCTGGTCCTGCCACTGTCACCTGACCACTAAAGGCCCTTGGGGATGCACAGTGACACAGCGATCACACTCAGGAGGCTGGCTTCCTGCACCTGTGTGGCGCCCCTCGATGGCCGAGAGCAGGGAGCTGGCCCTGATAGCCGTGAGGTGCTCCCTTCCCCATGGTCAGGTGGGCCCAGCCTTGGGGGCTCCTGAGAGTGGGGATACCCAGACAGCCTGCCGAGCAGGGACACGGGGGACAGGGCTCCCAGGCTCATCTCCAGCCCCTAGTCAGGGTCCCAAGCAGAGAGGGAAGGCACAGCACTAACCAAGGTGACCGCATGGCAGAGCAGCTGGCAAAGCCACTCCATACAGAGTAGGTCAGAGACCGGCAGCAAATAGCAAGACCTTGTCCTTTCTGCTGTGTGGCTTTATACTCTCCCCCAGGAAGAGGACACCTAGTTCCCCGGAAGGCCCAGCCCCAGAGCTCTCTCCCCATGTCCCTGATGGCTGAGAGAGCTCCAGTCCATATCCCAGCTCCAGAATGTATGTGCATTCTAGTGACAAGAGACAGGGCCTCTCCTAGCTGGAGAGTGCAGGAAAAGCTAGTGCTGAAAAGGAGGGACCCGAGGGACAGCAGGTCACCGTGACTGTTGCTTTTCCACTTTTGCACGCACAGACATTAAACGCTGGTATCATCTGTGTTCTCCACCTCTGATCAGGGCCGAGCAGCCTTCCACCCCAACTGATGGGCCTCAGGGACACAGCCTACTCACTGGACTCTCCAGCCAGGAAGGACCAAGTGCAACCCCAGACCGGAAGATCAGCAACAGTTAACCGCAGTGACCAGGGTCACCAGGCCAAGCTTGAGGGCTACCAAGGCCTGAGCTCCTGGCCTGCACACCAAGGGGGGGTGTGAGGGCACCAGGCTCCCGGAAGCTGCCCCGTCCTTCCCAGTGGGGCCGTGGGAAGGCCACCCTCCCAGCACACTGCCTGGACAGCAGCCAGCCCTGTGCACCAGGCATCTCCATGACCACAGCAGCCTTTGTCACTATCCAGGCAGACTGTGCCACCAGCCGAGTGAGCCCGGGCACAATCAGAGAGTGCCAGGCGCAGGGTGGGGGCGACAGTGCCGAAGGCAAATCCCAGGCACACGAAGCTCCTGCCGCTCTAATAGGAAGACTTGGAAATGCAGGCTCAAATCAGACAAGGGCTCTGTGTGTCATTCTCCAGCCAGGGAGGCCGTTCAGCCCTGGAGGCAGACGTGGGTTTGCACACATCCATGCCCAATTACATCCCTTTGGGCTGGCCTCTTTGCACTGGCTTCTCGTCCACAGTCAGGGCAGAGAGGGGAAATCCTGTCGATTTCCCACTGATTCAGAGGCACCATGTGGCTTTGCTTTTCATCTGTAAGGATGAGGCCCTCTGAGCTTGGGGATGAGGGGAGATGGGTTTAGGAGGGAAAAGCAGACACGTGGCTGATGAAAGGTAACTTCCAGAGCATCCCCTCAGACCTCCAGTGCAGCAAAAGTAGATGTTTGGGAGCAGGGTGCAGTTTGGGGCTATGTAGTACAAAGGGTGCTTGGGTCTAACACAGCCACAGGGGCTTCTGATGTCAGACAGGCTCATATTCTGCTTTTGAAAGAGCAAAACACCTACAAAGAGTACAAAAGGGAATACAAAGCAAACGAGTCTCTGAGGGTTGTCTTCGAACATGGCAGCGCAGGACCTTCCCCATTCTGAAGTCCACGTGGCTGCTGGCTGCCTGTGCACTGTTCAAAGGGGCCCAGCACCTGTCAGAACCTGCTGCCTTTCTCCTGACTGGCTGTCCCATGTCTTGTTCAGCGTGCAGGGCTCTGATGGATGAAGTGGAGTATGACGTCACCAAAGCTCGGCAGAAGAAGACTAAGGTGGGCTCCTACCGGATCAGGCCTGACGGGACGCAGGAGAGGAGAAAGGTAGCGGAAAAGAAATTATGTGCTCGTGTATAATTGCGGATATGGGCAATTACCAACCATTTATCCAAACAGCAGTTGGTCTTAATCTTCTAACCTTTCTCTTGTTCAGGGTATCAGCTCTAAATTGCTTCTGAGTCCTGGGGGACCTAAAGTAATCTTTAAGCTTGAAATTGAAGTGTCTCTCTCAGCACCTAACTTTGGTGTCTTGTCAAGTTGGAAGACATTCAGCACTGTTGTTCATCAGAATAAAATAGGGCTGCCATGGTTCTTGGGCAAGGCCAGCAGGGGTCCTGGAGGGGTGGAGGCTTCAGGCTGAGCATCTCCTCTTGGGCTCCTCCTGAGGTCGGCAGATTGGTAAGTGGGGGCAAGGGAGGCCTGACCCATCTCCTGGGGCTGACTCATTCACTCAGCCAATGGGGAAGGAGAAATGTTCTTGCTCAAAGACAACTCCATGAGGCTCACCCAATGCGATGTGCTGGGAGGGGGGCTGGGAGGAAGGAGTCAGGGAATCGGGGTGGGGGGCTGAGGATGTGGGTGCTGGTGAGGATCTAGGTTCTAGTTTTAGGAGACAACTCCCCGACCCTGCTCCCAGCACAGAGGCTAAGAGCCCAGAAACCCAAATCCATCTCAATGCCATTCTCAGTCACATCAGGAAAATTGTCCCATAATGCCATGCAGCCCATGCAAAGGTGAGCAGACACTAGGTTTGAATTTCTCACTGCTGTGTTCATCCTCCCATAAAGCACCTTGAGATAGAGCAACTATGCGACAGAGCTGTCCCTGCACTTCTAACTTTCTGGGTGGTAGCTGTCCAGAGAAGACAGGAGTGAGGTAGACAGACTCTCGCAGGGCTGCATGCAGCAGGTCACTGTGGGGAGGAACCACATCCAATGGGCAGCACATCATTTGCCTGAGTTAAGAACAAGCAGAGGCAGCTGGAAACCAGGGATCTCTCTGGGATTCGCCTCCCTAAAAGGATCTCCAAGGATGACCCTCAAGAGGGATTTCACCAGAAGGCGGTCCTGCAGACCCACTGACCGTCACCCTGCCTGGCACCCAGCACTCTGGGAAGGATGGTGAATAGGGGGCAGATGCCCTCCCTTCAAGGACGATTCAAAGACCAAGGAGGCCTACTGCACCCAGGGGCCAGCCGGGGGCTGTGACACAGACAGACCAGGCCCTTGGTTATGTGGATGGACAGGAGAGGCAGAGCACAGGTGCACCAAGGCCCCAAGTATCCCCCACACAATGGCCAATCTGACAGCTCCTGTTTCTGAAGAAGCCCTGCCCTGGCTGGGAGGGGGGGAGTGCACCCCTCCTGCACTCTGTGAACCCCTGTGAGCCCCTCCTCCTCTTCCTCAGTACCCCTCTCCCCCTACCCTCTCCTCTGCCTGGTTAGTCCCTGGCAGCACCTGTGTCACCTAGAGAATTCAGCTGTCCCGTTCCAAATGACCCTTCCTCTGCATGTGCTGCAGATGGGCTCAGGAAGCCTGGATAGGGGGAGCCATGCTGGGCCCTCAGGGTCCCAGGTTCAGGACCCTTCCCCTCCCTTGTGCAGCCCCAACATTGTCTTTCTTCCCTTGGCTCCAGATCCCATGAACAAGCACTGCCCCATCCGGGGTCCTCGGTCCCAGGTCTCAGTTCAGTGGGCCCTGGCCACCTGCAGAGGGGAAGCCCTGGGCACTGAAGGACTTGGCAGGATGAGTGGGGGCCCAGCTCCCTCCCTGAGCCCCAGCACCTCCCGCTGCCCACACCCGCTGGCTCCTCTGCAGCAGTGCCCAGGATACCTCCAAGGAATTCCTCTAACAAGAGTCTCACACCTGTTCCCAGGTATCCTCAGTGGGTGGCAGCTCTGTCTCCCGGAGACATGACGGGAACTCGTGGACTTCATGGGCTCCTCATCCCACCTGTGTCCATGCCTCCGGGGGCACCTGCCCTGGGAAAGCCCACCTAGTACAGCACTGGGCCCCCAGGGCTGCTGTCCCCTCTCTGGCAGGAAGCGCTTATGAGGCCCCACCCTCACCCTCCTCTAGGGGGCTGCTGAGCCAAGGGGGACCTCGAAGGGACAGGGACCAGGATGCTGGCCTGGTGGACAGCAGGGCCCAGGAGAGGGAGCCCCGCTCCCTCCCCGAGTCAGGACCAAGACCTCGACAGCTGCCACACAGCCAGGGAACCAGGGTGGGGCTCAGGGTCTTGGAGGCGGGTTTCATGGCCTTCTCCCTGACCCGAGGCCCCACAGGGCAGAAAGAGGGCAGAAGGCAGGTCGGGAGGTACTGGGGACTAGGAGGAAACTAGTCCTGTTTATTTTAACTGCTGTTGCCCACGAGATAGCTGAGAGACCTTCAAGGTTACTGGTTTTATGGGGCTGCCTATAAAATAGGGTTGCTGGGGGAGCAGCAAATTAGTAATACACAGTGCCTGCCACCCGACACTCACAGAGTCACTTCTGTCTGCGTTGGAATTATTCTCCTCCACTGTGGCACATGACTGCAATCCCAGCACTCAGGAGGCTGAGGCAGGAGGATCGTCCTGAGTTTGAGGCTGGCCTGAACTACATAGCAAGACCCTGTCTCAAAAAACAAACAAACAAAAATACTCTCCTTTTGAAGGTTTTACATGCCATTCTCCTCCCTTTAAAAGAAGAAATTAAAGTCGCACAAAGCAGCCTTCAGCTGGTTTGTAACAGTGAATACTCGATTCCACTTGCAAAGGTTTCTCTCCAATTGCAGGGTGAAGGGGTCTGCAGCTGGTGACAGGTGAGAGGTCCTTCCTGCTGGCGTTGCTGGGTGGGGATGTCCCCAGTGACGGTTTCCCTGAGCTGTCACAGGCCACATCTGGTCAGAAAGACACAGCCAGTGTGGTGGTACTGAGATGCCATCTCTGCTTCCTTGTTAGCAGACTGGACTAATGGTGGTTTTGGCCAAAACACAATGAACTGCCCAATGTCCAGCTGCATGGAGACAGATGCTGTGGGTCAGCTGCCCGGGCCAGTGTTTACTGCCTTTCTACAAGCCCAAAGTCAGACCTTTAAGATGGGGGTATCAATGAATAATGCTCCCAGGGGACAGGGTCTGGGAGCCCAATGTGGGCTCACGCTTGCTCCTGTGTGTTGCAGCCCTGAGCTCTGGCTGCCAGACCCAGGGCCAGCTTGCTTATCTTCTGGCAGGGCCAGGAAGGAGCTACATAGTGCTGGGCAGGAGGCACAAAGCGGAGTGCCAAGGCTTCCTCTGCCCTGGCCCAGGGGAGAAGCAGGTCATGTCCTCTACACACTCTGGCAAGTTCAACACCAAGCACCTTCTGGTTCTACTGTGGTTTTGGGGTTTTTTGGTTTTTTTGTTTTTTTTGGCATTAGGGATCAAACTTCAGACCTTGTGCTTGCGAGGCAGGCGGTGGCACCACTGAGCTAAATCCCAAGCCCACTATTATTGTTTTAAGGCAGGATCTTGCTGAGTGGCCCAAGCTGGCCTCCAACTCCCAGCAATCCTCCTGCCTCAGCCTAGTGAGCACTGAGATGGCAGGTGCGCACCACCATGCCCAGCTTTTTTTGTTTTCTTACAACTAATAGGAGTGAACAGAGCCCCTGAGCTGCTTCATTTTAGAATTGTAGGAGATGCTCTCACACATGCACTGCTGTGTGTGTCTGTGTGTACCCAACACAAACACAAGAGTTGGAAGTTGCCATCTCCAAGTGGACAGGACAGGAAATGTGGTCGCTCCGGCTGCTGGGGAAGCCTGGGGGCTGCCATGTGGGTGACATAGTTGGGTACTAACAGGTGCGTTGGTCCACCAGCTGGCTGACTCAGTGAAAGGCATCAGAGAAGGCTGGACCACCTTTCAACTCCATGTGCTGAGGAACTTGAGTTCTTTTAGGTTAAATAGGATGAGCACCCAGATCACTGCCCCCTGTATTTCAGACCAGTAGCCAAGCTGTTCTATGCTTCCAGGGGACAAAATAAGGAACATGGGGAGTTGGGTAACTAATAACATGGTGCAACATGACAGGAACAGTTCTCTCCTAGATGCACATGTCAGAGAAGCTCACTGGCCTCAACCTAAGAGTGCCAATGCTCAGCAGTAAGACCGAGAACAGATTAAACCCAGATACCCACTCTCCATCCCTGATCTTCATTTCTGCAGCTTTGCTTTTCTCTGTACCCCAGGGCTGCTGCTGTAGACAGTGCATACACCGGGTGGCATCCCTGTGGTGGAAGCCTGGGGACCCGTGCTCCCCACCCTGTCCCCTGGCCGAGTCAGCAGGAGGACTTTTCCCCAGGGCCTCCTGACCTCCACCACAGCCTCAACAAGGGTTAGCCACCCTCTCCCTCCCCAAACCCCGGGATTAAAAACTCACACCATCCCCAGGGACTATGGAGAGGACAAGTGACATGAAATTAAAAGAGAAAGAGATTATTTTAGTCCTCTTGGTGGACATAAAACAAGGAATGGAGCGCAGGCCAGAAAAGCTGTCCTTTTGATGGACTCAGGTGGCAGGGGCTAGCCAGCAGCAGGCACAGGTGATTACAAAGTCTGCACTTACCTCTGATCCCACAGATATTGCTCCTCAGGTCAGGGGTACTGGGGCTTCCCTCAGCCTGGCTAGAGAGCACCGGGAATTCCAATTTGATGGTCACATTCCTCTCACAGGGGATGCGCAGGGACTGGAGGAGGGACTGGAGCAATGCAGAGGTGCTGTTGATAGGGAGGGGACACAGGCACCGACTCTGCCCCTGTTAGTGAGGGGCTCCCCATCCCGATGAGGCCGCGGGGTTTTTAGGCTTCTTTCCTCCTCTCCCTTGGGCATAGCCTTACAGTGACGGCAGGACTCAGCTTTGAGCAGGGCGAACTTCTTGCCCCAGCCCTTCCTCTTGAGCAAAAGCTTGGATGCCAGGGCTGTCTCATGTATTAAATGCCAGTTGTAAAGCTGCCAGGGGATTTAGGCCCGCTCCTTCCTCTGGAGCCCTCTTCATGGAGTGGGGAAGTGGCCGGGAGGCCAGGGGGAG